AAGTGATTAATGACAACATTTTCATTTTGGGGTGGAGTATCCCTTTAAGGGGGCTAATAATATTGACTTTTGCATTTTTTTTTTGTAATAATTGTTTTATTCCAGGCAAATTGAAAGAAATAAGGCTTTCTCTTTCTTTGTACTGTGATAAAATTCCCTTGCTCTGTTAAACATCACTTGGGAAATATTTGAAAAATAATTTAAATTTCATAGGTGGTCTAATAATTTTGTCTTCAATTGTATATCTATGTATGTATGTATGTATGTATGTATGTATGTATACACACACACACACACACATATATAAAATAAAGTAAAATACAACAATATAAAAAAAATAAGCTTTCTATTTCACGTAACAGTATTTTTCACATTTTTTTTTGTGTGGGGGGGGGGGGGTCTAATAAGTTTGTCTTCAACTGTGTTTAATTGATCAAGTGACATTAAAGACATTTATAAAGTTTACGTTACATTATAGGAATAAATGACATTAAAAAAAATATATTCAAATAGAAAGCACTTTCACAATATTACTTTTTTTATTGTCAAAAACTTTACAAAATCTTTCTTACTCCAATCTTTTGAACAGTAGTGTATACCTAATTGTGTATAAAAATTCCATAGTGTAGCCTTCACTTTGGTTCCTGTGGTTCTTTTCATCAGTGATCATGTCGGACGATGCTGTGGAGAAGCGGAGGATGCAGATCAGGAGGAAGAAGATGCAGGAGGAGCCTGTAACGCTCTCCCCTCAACAGGAAGCTGTCATACAGGAGCTGCTCACCGCACATCAAAAGACCTTTGACATGACTTGTGCCCACTTCATTCAGTTCCGGGTAACATACTTACCTGATTTCGATTGTCTGTTTGAGATTTCGACAAATACTGTATATCTACTGAACTATGTTTTTAAGCACTGTCTTTATTAGAGGTTTTATGTCCTCAGCCTTTAGATCGGGATCAGAAATCCATGTCTGAGTGTGGTCGAGAGCCAAACAGCAGCAGGTTCACTTACGCAACCATGCACAAACCGTCGCCTGAAGATGCAATGCAGCAGACCATCAGCTTTGTCTCCCCCTCGTTCCCTTCCTTCAGCTTTCAGAGTCCTGAAAATAAAGAGAAGAATCGACATAAAAGTGCCATCTTCACCTCTCTGCCACATTTTACAGACCTCACCACATACATGATCAAGAATGTAATCAACTTCAGCAAGACGCTTACAATGTTTAGGTGAATACTGGCCGCCTTACAGTCCATCTGATATAAAGATTCATCACTGGTGGTCACAAGTGATCAGACAAGACATGTTTACACCTGATAGTTTTTTGCTCATGTTAGTTTAGCCAAGCAGCTTGACGGATACAAGATTATAATGAAGTTGTTGTGTTTTGAATGACAGGGCTCTAATCATAGACGACCAGATCTCGCTGCTGAAAGGCGCCACCTTTGAGATCATTCTGATCCACTTCAACATGTTCTTTAATGAGGTGACAGGCATCTGGGAGTGCGGCCCGCTGCAGTACTGCCTGGATGACGCCATGCGAGGTGAGGGTCTTCACAAGTCTCCATTAATCTTATATAGACTCTGCTGTATAATAATAATAATAATATGAATTATTCAGCAAGGGTGTATTAAATTGATCAAAATTGACATGTATTACTCTTATATACAAAAGATTTCTGTTTCAAATAAATGATGTTCTTTTGATATTTCTATTCATCAAAAGAATCCTGGAAAAAAAAAATGTATCTCTGTTTCCACAAAAATATTAAGTGGCACAACTGTTTTCATGTTAACGGATTAGAGCATTCACACTGCACGTGGTTGCGGTCCGGCAGTGCGTTTCAGGAGTGGTGCGTCTGCAGCAGTGCAGCCATCGTTTATTTTATTGCTGTGCTGTACTGCACTGGATTAAAGCCACAGCGCATTGTTCGCATTAAAATAAGCATGTATTGACACGAAAATGCAGAAATTTCACCATAGATGCATACAATTTAAAGGGTTAGTTCACCCAAAAATGAAAATTAGCCCACAAATTACTCACCCTCAAGTCATCTTAGGTGTATATGACTTTCTTCTTTCAGACGAATCCAGTCGGAGTTATATTAAAAATGGTCTTTGATCTTTCAAGCTGTTTAATGCCACTCAGCGGGTGTTGCATGCATCAGTCCAAAAGAAGTTAAATAAAAAGCACCAATCCATTAAAAAAAAAAGTGTCTCACACGGCTCCGGGGGGTGTACAAAGGCCTCCTGTAGCGAATCGATGCGTTTTTGTAAGAAAAATATCCATATTCAAAACGTAATAATGACTTTAATCTAGCTTGCGCTCACTGTTGTAAACGGAAGCAGCTCCGGGTGGATGACGGATGAGGGCGGCGTTTTTTTTTTTTATAAGTTTTTTCATAACGCTCCAGCTAAGAGGAGGAAGAAGAAAAGGAGAACACAGGAGGAAGGAGTGGAATAAGCCCCCTATAAGCGTTAGGTGTTGGGAGCACAGCAGGACAGTATCTGAAGATAATGAGGAGGAGATGGAGTCAGCGTGACCGTGCTGCAGGCAGAGCAAATTTCATCTCAGGGAAAAAGTGAACGGAATAGCCAGGCTTTTTCAGAAAGCACTACCTGTCTTACTGTTTTAGTACATGCATCAGTCTGTGTGTTTATTGGCATTTTCATTACTTCAAATGGGATTGAGTCAGTTAAACTTTCATGCTTATTTTTTACTTCAAAAATCTGACTCATTTTAACAGGTATTTTTCCCCTTTTACCTTAATATGCAGAAACTATGGAAGCTTGTTTCCTCCACTTTTCTATTTTCCTCCACAGTAGTAAAACAGGTGCTGTAATTTGTGACTTTTTGTCTCACATTTCTGACAGTTTTTCTTGAAATTTAAGGTTTATTTCTCACAATTGCAAGTTATAAACTCATAATTGCAAGTTTACATCTTAAAATTTGTTTGTTTTTTTGCCAAGGAATAAAAAATAAAAAGGTAACTGAGACTTTTTATCTTACAGTTCTGACTTTTCTTCTCAGAATTGCACGTTTATATCTCTCAAGTTTATAAACTTGTAATTGCAAATTCTGAGTTTACATCTCAGAATTATGTTTTTTTTTTTAAAGGTAATTGCGACTTTTTTTCTCGCAATTGTGAATTTATATTTCCCAATTCTGACTTTTCTTCTTAGAATTGCAAATTTATATCTTGAATTCTGCATTTATGTTTTAGAATTTTGACTCTTTTTTTGTCTTCTCAGAATTGCATGAAAAAAAGTCATAATTGTGAGATAAAAAGTCACAATTACCTTTTTTGTTTATCCTGCGGCAGAAACAAGCTTCCATAAGAGTCAACTGTAAGTAAATCATCCGTACTTTAATTTCCCTAAAACTGCAAAGACTCTCTGTGGTGCTTTCGAAACATTTTTCTGTTTGTTTGAGCATCTCAACAGAAACATCAGCAATATGTGTTTGGGACAGGACTATCATTACTTTTGCTGCTAGTGGAAATGACACACTTAAGCTTCAACCCTTTTCACACGTAAGTTTGAAAATTTCAGACGGACCCTTGCGTGTGAGCTTTTGGCCATACTGCAAGAATGTAAATTATGTGTCAGTGAACGGAGAGAGTTCAGGAAGATGAAATGCAGTGAAACTGGTTAAGATGTAACCCGTGTATGAAAGACTGAGCTTGTCACTAGCTAAGCATGACACATTATACATGTCACTATAGCACAAGCTAACTTAGAAATGACTTTTTGAAAGATAGAGGAGTCATATCATGAGAAATTTTAACTTTTAAGTGAAAACATATACTGCTATAAGTAGTATGTTTAAACTACCGTTCAAAGGTTTGGAATTGGCAAGATTTTTTAATGTTATTGAAAGAAGTCTCTCAAACTCACCAAGGCTGGATTTATTTGATCAAAAATACAGTAAAAGCAGTAATACTGTGAAATATTATTGCAATTTAAAATAACTGTTTCTGTTTGAATATATTAAAAAATGTCATTTATTCATGTGATACACAGCTTCATTCGCATGTCAACGACCATTTATGAATCTGTCACGATGTAATTCAGGCTTTACAACGAGACTGTTGTTGAAGGATGAGGCCGTTTGAAAACTGTATTTAACCCAACATTAGAGTAAAGTTTGTTCATTTCACATGCAACAAGTTTGTTTAGGCACTAAATCTTAAAGGCCCAGCACCAAAAAAAAGGGGAGCTATTTATTAATGGTCAGTGAGAGGGTGGAAAATAGTCATAAAAATACTCAATTACTGAAATTATAATTGGAACTGGGTGCTTTCACACCTGGCCCGTTGTTTCGGAACCTGGCGTGTTTCCCCCCCTAGCTCGGTTCGTTTGGGCATATGTGAACATGGCAGTCGCGCTCGGATCCATGCCAAAACAATCGGTCCGAGATCGCCTGAACGAGGTGGTCTCAGCTCGATTGAAAACGAACTCTGGAGCGGTTCGGTTGTATTGAGAAAGCAATCCGATCTAACGGACCAACGAACCAGGCTATATCACAATGTATGATGGGTAATTACGTAAGTTCAGTGAAAAACATTAGCTTTGTTGTTTTGCTAATACTTCAAAATGAACCTGTTAATGTCTGTGGGTGAGCACGTCTTCGCCATTCAAAATCAAAGAGCACTTTTTCATTTTATAATGCCGTCTTATTGCTCTTCTTCCTAGTATGTGCAGTTTAAAAATGTTTTCCCGATGAATCTTGGACTCCTGCTCAAAGTGATAAATTAATATAACGACATCTACAAAAAAAACAACAATAAGCTGTTGTCGTTCCATCCTGATGGATGACATCCCGGAAAATAAACCGTGAAACTTTGACCAATGAGAGAACCGTTTACTCGCGCGTGACATGTATTAACAATTTTGGTCCGTTTAGAAACATTGCCATATCAAAGCGAACCGCACCAAGAATAAAAAGCAACATTGTAATCATTTTAATCCCTGTTTCGGAACAAAGCAATCGATCTACAGGTGTGAAAGCACCCTAAGTGAGTTAATGCTTATAAGAAAAACTCTCTGCCAATGAGGAAAGAAAAATGAGGAAAGAAAAAAATTCCCTTACTTCAAAGGGAAAACAAGTTTATTTTCTTGCCCCAATGGCATTTCTTGTTCTCAATTTTCAAACTTAATTTTGACTTTTTTTCCCCCAGAAAACAAGATTTGATATCTTAAGTGCAATTAATTATACTTGATAAGCAAAAAAATTAATAAAATAAAATAAATAAAATAAAATACCTTTTTTTAGAATTAAAATTACGTGATAAGTAATTTTGCTTCTCAAGTAAATGTAAGTTAATTTAAGAAAGGGTGCTTTCACACCTGGCCCGTTGTTTCGGAACCTGGCGTGTTTCCCCCCCTAGCTCGGTTCGTTTGGGCATATGTGAACATGGCAGTCGCGCTCGGATCCATGCCAAAACAATCGGTCCGAGATCGCCTGAACGAGGTGGTCTCAGCTCGATTGAAAACGAACTCTGGAGCGGTTCGGTTGTATTGAGAAAGCAATCCGATCTAACGGACCAACGAACCAGGCTATATCACAATGTATGATGGGTAATTACGTAAGTTCAGTGAAAAACATTAGCTTTGTTGTTTTGCTAATACTTCAAAATGAACCTGTTAATGTCTGTGGGTGAGCACGTCTTCGCCATTCAAAATCAAAGAGCACTTTTTCATTTTATAATGCCGTCTTATTGCTCTTCTTCCTAGTATGTGCAGTTTAAAAATGTTTTCCCGATGAATCTTGGACTCCTGCTCAAAGTGATAAATTAATATAACGACATCTACAAAAAAAACAACAATAAGCTGTTGTCGTTCCATCCTGATGGATGACATCCCGGAAAATAAACCGTGAAACTTTGACCAATGAGAGAACCGTTTACTCGCGCGTGACATGTATTAACAATTTTGGTCCGTTTAGAAACATTGCCATATCAAAGCGAACCGCACCAAGAATAAAAAGCAACATTGTAATCATTTTAATCCCTGTTTCGGAACAAAGCAATCAATCTACAGGTGTGAAAGCACCTAAATTACATAATAAAAATGTATACTGTATTGTGTTATCTAGCAGTACTTTTTGCATTTTTAAATCTGTCACCATTTTTTTTGCTTACTTTAATGTTAATATGGCCCTTTTAATTAAGAACCCATATGTGGCATATTTAAAGGCTGTGGTGGCGTTATTACAAACTTCAGTCCATCCTTGATTTTCTCTTTATATTTGCTTCTCAAGGCTAAATGTTCATAGTTGCTAAAGAAGTGGCATTTCATTACATATTGACTAATTACCCTGATTTTCTACAGTCTCTGAGACGCAGCTGTAAAAGCCTTAAATTGAACTCTGAATTGAATGTCATTACCATCATACAGCTGTCATTCACAACAGCTCTTCTGTTTAATGAACATGCATTGTTTCAAAGCAAACAGATGGGACTGCTTTACCATGTCGACGTGAAGCAGCCATAGCAAGGAGACGTCACAAACATAATCCCTGTCACATGTCAAATGCTTCTAGTCTGAAATCAGATCAAATGTGACCCTGGAGCACAAAACCAGTCTTAAGTCGCTGGGGTATATTTGTAGCAATAGCCAAAAATACATTGTATGGGTCAAAATTATAGATTTTTCTTTTATGCCAAAAATCATTAGGATATTAAGTAAAGATCATGTTCCATGAAAATATTTTGTAAATGTCCTACTGTAAATATATCACAACTTAATTTTTGATTAGTAATATGCATTGCTAAGAACTTCATTTGAACAACTTTAAAGGCGATTTTCTCAATATTTTGATTTTTTTTGCACCCTCAGATTCCAGATTTTCAAATAGTTGTATCTCGGCCAAATATTGTCCTATCCTAACAAACCATACATCAATGGAAAGCTTATTTGTTCAGCTTTCAGATGATGTATAAATCTCAATTTCGAAAAATTGTCCCTTATGACTGGTTTTGTGGTCCAGGGTCACACATGTATATCAAATGGACACATCTGCATAAAAAAGAGCCTCAGTATACAGCACAGAATAAAATACTCAAGTCAGATCCAATATGAATATTTGCCACTAATTCTTTCAAGACCAACTGATTTGAGCTATGCACACTGACGTTGTCAACACTTCTCGTGTGACTTTTCTTTTCTCTTTTTTCTTTTCTTTTATATTTTAACACTGATACAAATGCTTAATGCTTAAATGAATCATAACTGAGAACTCAATTAAATCTTACTGTTACAAGAGGAAATTCATCATCAGTGTAATTTGAGTATTATTTATATTATTATACTTTATATGTTAATATTTCTAGAAGTTTTAGTTAAACCGTTTTCAGTTTTATTCGTTTTTTTGTTATTTTTTTTGTTACGTGATTTTGTAAAAAAAAATATTAGTTTTTGTTTTTAATTCTGTTTATCTTTCATTTATTTCGGTTTTAGTTTTAGTAATTTTAGTTAGTTAATCAGTTTTAATTTTAATTAAAGTTTCATTTTTAAACAATTTTGTTATGTGATTTATATATATATATATTTCTATTTCAGTTTTCGTTTTAAGAATTTTAGTTTAAACGAAATTAATTTTCAATTAGTTGCATGGCAACATTTCTAAGTTTTGTCTAAGTTACTTGCAAGTTTTCCATCAAATATTTATATTTGATTTGATTTCAGCTTTATTTTAATTAACCAAAAAGTCTCTCCTCTTAGAAATGAAACATCAGTAAATGAATCTAGGGTAATGTTTCACTTTGCAGCATGTATTACATGCTTTTGAAGGCATTTACAAGTAGACATGCTGCATCAGTTTGTCTCTTTCCTCCCCCACCGGTCAGCTGGTTTCCAGCGTCATCTGCTGGACCCTATGATGAACTTCCATTGCACACTGCGCAAGCTGCACTTGCGTGAAGAGGAGTATGTGCTGATGCAGGCCATCTCGCTCTTCTCACCAGGTATTTCAGATGAAGCTCACATTCACATGAACACACGCGGCCAGCAGTTTCACCTCTTACGTGTGTGTTTTCATCCACAGATCGCCCCGGTGTGAAACATCACAGCGTGATCGACCGCAACCAGGAAACACTAGCTCTCACCCTGAAGACCTACATTGAGGCCAAGAGGACCGAGCCAGAGAAACAGTAAGAACGCTTTATTTCTGTCTCACGAGGAAAACTATTTCTTTGATTGCACCTTCATTTGAACCTTCTCCTTCTGCTAGTCTGCTGTTCCCAAAGATCTTGGCGTGCCTGACTGAGATGAGGAGTATGAATGAAGAGTATACGAAACAAGTGCTGAAAATCCAGGACATTCAGCCTGAAGTGTCTCCGCTTTTACTGGAAATAATAAGCAAAGACAGCTAAGCCTTCACAGAGCAGATGACTCAACTAACTGGCCTTGAACTGGCTATCACCAGCCGCGTTGACCTTCATCTGAAGACACTAAGGACTGAAATATAGTCAAAACTAGCGAGGACAAGGACGGTGCCTACTGATAATGAACTACTGAACTGCAGCACACTGCAATTGTGAACCTGTCGTTTTATAGCTGTGTAACTACATGTAATGGTGTTTGAGTTTATCTCACGAGTAATCTTTTTCTGGATCTTTTCATGAAAGAACAATTTCTATGGTTCATAACCAGATGTAGGATGGCACATACTATCTCTTACATTTACAGCATGAATGAAGTTTGAAATGTGATGCAGTAAGAGCAAGTTATTATGGCAGCATCACAGATGTATAAAACAACAATATGATACTATACTAGTCATTTGTGTTAATAGTCTGTCTTGACGAATCTGTTTATTTATTATTCATTTTTAAATGCAAAATAGTGGTATAAGTTAACCGCTTCAGGGTATGTTGTGTTCAAATGATTCAATGCCACTGTCAGATGTGAGTAGCTATATTTGATTCAAACATTTTCCAGATTAGAATGTAAATGGAGTTATGAATCTCATAAAGAACATGTTCAGGTCTTAATTTACTCTACATATTGAAAAAAACTATATAGGCTTTTTATGCAAAATATCTATTTTTATTTTTATATCTATAATTATTTTTCATTACAGTAATGAGAATGGGATTTTTTATGGTAATGAAAAAAAATAGGCTTTTATGCAAACTATGTGTTTTGGGTGTGGATTATGTTCTTGTCAGGTTTTGTGAGATTCACTGATATGTGGCTGGGTATCAAAAGAGTTGAGCTAGCTATTCATTTCATGCCTGTTGTGAATGCTTTATTAGTAAAAAAGCTTGCTGTATTTTGTGCAACATATCAGAAATTTTAGGAGGCTGCAAGAGTTCATCACACAGACACTTTCTTGAGAAGTGATTGCCTTTTAAAATTCTTCACTCAGCAGTAACCTTTTTCACTTTCGAGCAAATTTACTGAACAGACATCAGAAAGCATTTGAAGGTCATTTTGTCATTAAAGCTAAAAAAGTTAACAATGACAATGTGAAGATTGTGAGCTAGTGTCAAATGTGAAATGACAATGTAGAGCAGATGTTTAGTGTTCAAACTAGGAATGCAGTATTTTTGGAAAATATTCTTTATTTAGACATATTATAAATACAAGCAGAGTTTTCAGATGTCAGGCGTCTCTATAAAGCACAGATGCCTTCATATTGGCATCCTGTTTAGATTAAGCAGTTATTTTATCCTGTCTGATATATGAGGAGGAAACTTGTCACAACACGAATCATTTCTACACAATACACTCAGGTTTTCTGTCTTTACGGTGATTATTTGCAAAGCAAGATGTATATGTCCCGCTCAGGAAAATAAAATGTAAAATTTTATGAGCATGTGTGTAGAATCTTTAACTGTGTAACTGTTTATTTTCTACAGGGTTTCTGCAGGATTTTTAAGCTCAAATTTAAGACTTTTTAAGACCTGCACAAATAAAATTTATACCATATGAGTGCAAAAGGGCAATGTCTATGGTTACATAACTGTAAAAAGCATGATTTTCCGTGTACCATATACAGGTTTTCACAAAAACAATAAGGTTTATAAAATGATAAACTTCACATTTCAGATTTTAAATAATAAAAAAAAAAAATGGATGAGTCAAAAGTATCAATTATTCATTTAAACAATTATTCAACTATTATATTAACACAAATATAATTTACTGTCTTAGAATTGTATAATGTATTTATAATCTTCTTGTCAATCCACCAGCTTACATTTACAACTCTGCATGTTTGCAGTGTAAAAACATGGGTTGATTTTCACATTAGTCTGAACAAAAACAGCAGACAGGCTTATTGAAAATGCAAATTCATTCTCTGCCAGCAGGAGGCGCTTTCCGAACGGCAGAAATATAACTGTTTCCCCGGTAACCGCAGTAAACAAAGCAGCAGCACCGGACTTTGAAACAGTACAGCGCTCTTGTTTATTCAATGAAATCATAACCTTTTGAAGTTTAATCATCACATTAAGCTATATGCAAATCTGTTTTTTCCGTCCACAAATTTAAGACCTCTTGAAATCATAATTAAGACTTTCTTGTACCATTTAAGACTTTATGTCCTTAAATTTGATAGTACAATTATTTTTAAGACTTTTTAAGGACCCGCGGGAACCCGGTTTCTAAGTGTAAATCATTTCCTCATAACGTACTGTTAAAAAAAATGTGGGGTTGTATGTTTTTATATATATATATATATATATATATATATTTTTTTTTTTAATCAAGCTGCATTTATTTGATCAAAAATATAGCAATATTGTGAAATATTATTACAATTTACAAAAACTGTTTTCTATTTGAATATATTTTAAAAAGTAATTTATTCCTGTGATGGCAAAGCTGAATTTTCAGCATCATTACTCCAGACACATGATACTTCAGAAACCAATTGGCCCCGAACTTTTGAACGGTAGTAGGCTATAACACATGCTTTTATCCAAAGCAACTTAAAATGCATTTAAAGTATGTTTTATTTGAACTCAGGCACTTACCACAATCACCTTTAAACATATTAGGCAAGAGTGAAGAAAAAGAGAGACATTTAATTGCACGTTAATTTAGTCTAAATGGATTGAATTTGAGGATAGCGACATCTTGAGTTGGGAAAAGAAAGACGCGTGGCAAATGCAGGGTCATTTCCAAGCTATCCTACTCTTTATTTAATGCAAATTACAGTACCAGGTAACTAGTCTCTGAATCCAAGTCACACCAAGGACCAAAACGGACATATTTACAAGGAGAGGAGACATTTAGCATACCTTCACAGAAAAAGAATATATTTAAAATAAAATAAAAATTTCAGTCACAAACAGACGCATTCAAGTAATATTAATGTTATACAGGTTGTATTTTTTTTTCCTTTTTTCCATTTTAAACCAAGACAATTTTTTTCCCAATAAGTGTATGTAATGTGATAGTCTGTATTTAGCCCACAGTCCTTAAAACAATTTTTTTTTTTTTTTTGGTAATTGTTTTTAAACCTTGTCTCTTTACATTTTTACTCTAACTTTAGTCACGTGAAGTGGTCACACCATTCGTGGAAAGCAACACATCTATGAATGCGCATCTTACAAGCAAGCTTTACATTGAGGGTGCGGGGATGAGGGTCCGGCGGGTGCTACGTGACATCTCTACCGCATACTGTCGGCTGGCCAACGAGTGAAAACACAAAGAAATCATTATTATTGCCCCTGGGATGTTGCAGTTACATAACAACACGCTCATAGTTGGTTCACTTTGGTAGTGGAACGAGGGTTCACATTTACAACTGTGTTTGCTGCATAAAAACATGGGTCGATTTTCACATTAGTCTGAACAAAAACAGCAGACAGGCTTATTGAAAATGCAAATTCATTCTCTGCCAGCAGGAGGCGCTTTCCGAACGGCAGAAATATAACTGTTTCCCCGGTAACCGCAGTAAACAAAGCAGCAGCACCGGACTTTGAAACAGTACAGCGCTCTTGTTTATTCAATGAAATCATAACCTTTTGAAGTTTAATCATCACATTAAGCTATATGCAAATCTGTTTTTTCCGTCCACAAATTTAAGACCTCTTGAAATCATAATTAAGACTTTCTTGTACCATTTAAGACTTTATGTCCTTAAATTTGATAGTACAATTATTTTTAAGACTTTTTAAGGACCCGCGGGAACCCGGTTTCTAAGTGTAAATCATTTCCGGAACACGACTCCTCCGCACACAAAAACAGCTTTGTGCCAAACTCGAAGAGAGAGAAAAAAAAAAAAAGAAGTGAGGAAAAACATCTACAGAAATGCCATCGAATGTGGTTTCTGATAGGAAATGAATTCGGCTGTCAGTCATTCAGACTTGACCAATCAAGACCACCTGCAGAGGGTCACAGGAAGGGGCGTGGTCTGTCTTGTGTGTGGACAGGAAGTGGGTGTGGTCTAGGGACAGGAAGTGTATGGAAGCAAAGGCACTCCAAACTATAGATACACTATACATTACTAGTTATAGTTACAATAATATAGCTGGCACCTACTGTACAGATAAGATTGAACTATATGGCTGGAGAAAGCTCCTTGTCTACAGTATCCAACAAACAGGTCATGTTTGCCCTGATCTTTTTAATTTTTTTTTCTTTGATCCATTTTTCATTTAATCCCGCGTCTTTGTTTTCGCTCATTAACAGTTCTCAGGTCAGCATATTTATGTACATAGCAGAACACTCACTCACTCACTCACTCAATCACACACGCTCACAAATTATACAAAAATCAAAACAAAACATAAAAATTAAAAGTAAAAGCCAGCATTTGGTGAGGAGCAACTGTGCTGTACTGTATATACACGTCTGTTGTTTTCTTATACTGCTATACTTTGTGTATTAAGACATTTTGGGAAATAAAAAAAGTACATTTTTCCGTACGTTATGCTGAGACATGATGAAGAAAAAAGTAGTGGTTAAAACAACACAGCCATTTCAGTTTAACATTGCGAATGGAGCACAAACACAGTCTCTGTGAAGTCGGCGCCACATCGATGCGTCTCTTCATGTGTTCTTTATGTTTAGCTGTGTGGTTAAGAACGACACTGACGCACACGCGACAATAAATAACCAGAGGAAATCAGGACAGAAGGTGATCTATAATTCTACCAGGCTAACAGAAAACAGCAGAGAAGCGCGAAACTCTTGCTAGAAAAGAGCTCCAGCAGAGTCTTAGTCATTCACATACTGTATCATTTCAGTATGTGGCCGCTGCACTGACAAACTGTGATGGATTCTGATGCTAGATATAGATCTATATATAAATATATATATATATATATATATATATATATTTATTTTACATAATGCAAAGTAATATATAAACGGTGTATGCATATATCATACAAGAACACAGAGATGGAGACGCACGTCTCACCTGTCAATCAAAATGTCTGCCCCTCCCCTACAGCCCGCCCATTTTATAAAACAAGATAAAACAGATTCAGCCGACTTAAAATCCTGTAACAGAGTATTTCTCTCTTGTCTTTGTGGTTGACATGCGGTTTTTATATTTATACCTCTTGTACGGTGCCTTGTGTTTGTTAGATACGCTTAGATACGATATTTCCTCTAGTTTTGAATGCTTGCATCATTTTCACCCAATACATATACATATATATGAATATACACACTATATGTATGTACTGTGTATATATATATATATATATATGTACTGTATACATGGGGTGCTCCCAACCAAATTCAAGCCATGCACTATTAAAGTCCCAGGACAGTATAAAGGGAGAGAACGTGTAGCTAGAGACGGTCCAGGTGAGAGAAGGGGAGCCCAAATGCGAACGGAAGTGGATGGATCTGGCTACCGGATTGCTTACATAATAAGATTGTCCTCTGAGAATGAGAAGAAAAAAAAAAAAGTTCCGGCTGGTCACGGACCAGGTTTTATGCTTTAACCCCCGCTTCCGAACTGTTTCCTGACTGCTCTCTCTTTTTCTCTGTCTCTGTCGCTCTCGTGAATTACATCCGACGAGGCTTTTCCACATGTATCATTCTGAACTTTGTAAAAAAAAAAAAAAAAGACGTAAATGAAGGTTGGCTCTTGCAGTCTGAATAAGAGTGGTGGTTACATGACTCAAATCCTGCCCATTAAGCTGGTGAGCAGTGGGGTGGGCGTGGCCTCGGAGGCAGGGTCAGGTCTGATTGGCTGGGGCTCTCAGGTTGAGGTGTTGGAGACGGAGGCAGAGGCAGAGGCTGCAGTTGTGGTCTGACTGCGATCTCCACTATTGGCATCTGGACACAAAGAGAAAACATTGTTATTAGCATATATTGTATGTTATAAGGGTCAGTAAGGTGATGCTCATTTTCCTGTCATATCTATTAATTTCTTCAAAAATAATTTCAAAATGCAATTAATGCATATCATGATTTGAATACAGTTCTTGTATGATGAACATGTTTTTAATTTCGCTTTAAATGTCACCATGATACAACTATCTTTGTATCATAATAAAATAATAAAAAGTCCTATTAAAAGAATTACATTGTTATTAAATTCGTATTAAAGAGAAGTTTAAATAGGCAGTTTGGCATTCTATTTTAATGCAGAAAAAGCATAAAACCAGAAATTGTATCATATAGACGAGCACTGAAGACTTCATGACTGGGTGTAAAAGTCTGTAAGTCTATTAAAATATCAGATCATTTGACAAGACAAGCTTATTTCAGGTATTAATATTCATTTTATTTACTTGTTTGTTTGTCGTGTTATTTGTTATATTATGTAAAAGTATTATTTAGCATTATTTAAATACCAATATAGTATTTACAAAAAAAATTTCATGAGCTTCTTTATTTTAATTTAATTTTTTATATTTCTATTTAGCTTTAAATTCAGTTTTTGTAATTTGAGTACTTCAACTTATTTTATTTGAGTTAGTTTCCAAGGCAACATTTCTATTTTTTTATAGTCTAATATTTACATTTTATTTTATATTAACTTTGATTCAATTAACAAAAAATATTTTAATAGTTTTACTTAGTAACAACACTGGTTGTAAAATGTCATGTGGTGCGACTCCTTAATTTCCCTTTAAAAATACTTTAAACCCTTTTTTTTTTTTTGAAAATGAAGATAAAGATAGATAAGGAAAATATGTGATTACTTTGATGGATAGTTAACCCACATGACATTTGTAGAGTCATTAACGTTACACGTTCCTTGAAAATGGTATAAAAGTTCATCAAACCCAACAAGAATAAAAACGTGCCTTAAAACTTGCCACGTGTTTTAAACTTTTCTTTACCGTGTTAATTTTTATACGTCACTGAATAAAAATGTCATTGATAAAACAGTCATGGTATAGCTTCTGGTTGGTCACTAACAGCTATGACACCAAACCCCTGTTCACCAGAAATACTAATACATATGAACACTGTATCAGAGTGAGCTATATCCAGAAGACAAGGGATGTCAGATGAGCACAAAAAGGGTCTAAAGCAAAGACTGACCTGAAGTGGCAGAGGCGTTGGTGGGGGTAGAAGCTCCTGCCTGGTTTCGTGCATGAGCAGGAATTAGGATAGATGCCAGGGATGGGTTACTGGACAGCTCTGAGTCAAGTCAAACAAAAGACAGACCAACAAGCAACATCAAAAAGCTGATTACCTTGCATCTGACAGCACATTTTCTTCATACAAACAAATGCAAAATAATGCCATACCTTGAGTTGTGAAGTTGAATAAGGATGGTTTCTCACGTCCATTAGGAAGTTTGACATTAGGATCCCGCAGTTCATCAAAGAAGGAGTGAGCGCAGGCCTCTAGCGGGGTCAGTCGAGCAGTCGGCGTGTACTCCAACAGCCGCGAGCACAACGCAATGGCTTCAGGAGGCGTGCGTGGCCGAAACACCTGCGGAGACGTCTCAGAAGTTTAGAAAGAGTATATAAGTAAGTTGTATATTTTCTTAAATAAGTATCAATAAACGGCAACACTTTATTTTAGAGTTTGCTTGTTACATGTATAATAACATAGTAATTACATAATTAAAAAATGTGCATACAAACCTTTTTTGAATGAATAACCACACATTATGACATTTTAAATTTTGCATATGCTTTCTTCATTCCATCTGAACACTCACTTGCTCACATGAATTGCGATTAAGCCGCGACATGCCTTGAGCTATGGATGTTTTATGAATCATTCATAGGAAACTGAATCATCTATGAATCATTTAGCAAATTATCTCCCATTCACTCACATTTAGGATGATTATATGCACATCTTTACAAATTAGGCCTCAGGCTGACATTATGGTAGCCTGCCCTGCATAGGGTGACTTCATGCCCCATTATGGGGTGTTAAAGGCACTGTATACTTTTTCTAGGGTAATAAGGACGAAATGTTCATTTGCTTTTTGTAGCAAAGTCTTTAAAGTGTTTGTCTTCAGTGGAGCAAGAAGTGCAATCACTGAAATAAAACTTGTTTATATCTAACATATTATTACACTATAAATGAACTGTTTTTGGTAAACTAGCTCTGGATAACTTGAAGCAGAAGAAAAAGAAGGCATTTCAGCCTTTCGAGGTGTTTGCGTCACAGGCACTGGGGCATATCCTGTGCAGAAGGTAAGACTGTGTTTGAAGGGAGGGGTCTGATTGGAAGCAGGATAAGACTAAAAACACACCCTGCAGCTCAGTCGTGTACTACATACAATGACCACCAGAGGGCACCTGAGAGATCCTGCTTTTATACTTAATGTGGACCTACAGTGTTGGGCAAATTTACCTTGGAGTACAAAAATATCAATTTGATATCTGCATCATGATTTTCAATTATGAAATGTTTTTTTTTTAAGTAATAAATAAAATGAGATTTTGTTTGTGTAAACATCCCTTTCTAATCATACTAAAGAAAAGTACCAAGATTATTACCAGTTATAACACTATCCATCTGGAACAGTTCATCTGTCCTTCAACTGCATTTTCAAATGACTCAGCAAGTTCAGTTTGATGTACATGACAACAGTTTCAGGTGCAAGGCATAACACACTACTGTTCAAGAATTTGGGGTCAGTCGGATTTTGTAATATTTTTGAAAGAAGTCTCTTATGCTCACCAAGGTGGCATATTGTGAAATATTACAATTCAAAATAAGCCAGTTCTATTTGAATATATGTTAAAATGTAATTTATTCCTGTGATGCGAAGCTGAATTTTCAGCATCATTACTCCAGTCTTCAGTGTCACATGATCCTTCAGAAACCATTCTAAAATACTGATTTGCTGCTCAAGAAACTTTATTTTCAGTGTTCAATTTTCAGGATTGTTAGATCAATAGAAAGTTCGAAAGAACAGCATTTATTTGAAATAGAAATCTTTTGTAATATAAATGCCTATTATAAAAGTCGTCACTGCTCCTTTTAATCAATTTAATACAGTCTTGCTGAATAAAAGCATTCGCTGCTTATAAAAATCTTACTGACCCCAAACTGTTGAACAATAGTGCATAGCACAGTCTAAAACCTAGACCACAGAGTAAACAGCAATTGTAAAAAGTGTAATGAAGTCAGCAAGCAATGTTGAAAGCATGTCTGGTGACGTCATTTAAATGGACATGAGGATGTGACATTACTGGCCGACATCAGCTCTGTTCCAAAAACTAGTGAACTGCCTTCTTATGCACACAAATACTGAGTAAAAGAGGCCATTTTTAATTAGACTGAACTGTTTTTATTGATTGATTTGATTTAGTATTGAATGAAACATAATAACACTTACAGTACACATATTGTACATTTCCATATTTATAATACCAGCTTTTTTAAAATCTTGACACAACGCCTTCTCTCTTCGAAATCAAGCTATCTTAGGCGGTAACATAATTATTCCGCCTACCAGGCTTCCTACGTAGGCAGCTCACTAGGATTCGGAATAGACTGTAAGGTCACTTGGCTAGCCATCACAACAGAGCTCAGAAAGAGGACGTCTGCATACAGACACAATCCTGATTGAAATTTTCCTTCTTCTTTCATCAACTACTTGAGAAGCAGTGTGTCTAAGACCAATAATGAAATGCTGTGTGCTGCAGACGGGTGACGTGAATGGAGTCAGGACAGTGAGAGGAGATGACGGCTGGAGGTGGAAGACGGCTGTGCTAGAAGTAGTAAAACAGTTGACCTGTACCTGTTTACTCACCTTAGTCCATGGGTGGGCCTTAATCTGCGGGAATTTGAACTCGGTGTAGTTTGGGTTCATTTCTCGAATCTGCTCCCGTGTGGGAGTGCCCAGCACCTGTGACCACAAACACACAGAAACACCCGTTTTTTAATTTTTTCTGACATGTTGGTGTTTTATCTTTCACTTGGATGCTATAAGTTGCACTGAGTAAATACAGCTGGATAAAACAAAAACTGTGCCCGTCTTCATTTCAGGCTGCAAAACAACAAAATGTGATTATTTTAAAGGGGGGTCATTCTTTTCTATACCCACTGTAGCTAAACCTAAGAGTGATTTTTTTTTGACTTGCATCTAGTTTCATATTTATTTGTAGTTACTGAGTAAAAGAGGCCATTTTTAATTAGACTGAACTGTTTTTATTGATTGATTTGATTTAGTATTGAATGAAACATAATAACACTTACAGTACACATATTGTACATTTCCATATTTATAATACCAGCTTTTTTAAAATCTTGACACAACGCCTTCTCTCTTCGAAATCAAGCTATCTTAGGCGGTAACATAATTATTCCGCCTACCAGGCTTCCTACGTAGGCAGCTCACTAGGATTCGGAATAGACTGTAAGGTCACTTGGCTAGCCATCACAACAGAGCTCAGAAAGAGGACGTCTGCATACAGACACAATCCTGATTGAAATTTTCCTTCTTCTTTCATCAACTACTTGAGAAGCAGTGTGTCTAAGACCAATAATGAAATGCTGTGTGCTGCAGACGGGTGACGTGAATGGAGTCAGGACAGTGAGAGGAGATGACGGCTGGAGGTGGAAGACGGCTGTGCTAGAAGTAGTAAAACAGTTGACCTGTACCTGTTTACTCACCTTAGTCCATGGGTGGGCCTTAATCTGCGGGAATTTGAACTCGGTGTAGTTTGGGTTCATTTCTCGAATCTGCTCCCGTGTGGGAGTGCCCAGCACCTGTGACCACAAACACACAGAAACACCCGTTTTTTAATTTTTTCTGACATGTTGGTGTTTTATCTTTCACTTGGATGCTATAAGTTGCACTGAGTAAATACAGCTGGATAAAACAAAAACTGTGCCCGTCTTCATTTCAGGCTGCAAAACAACAAAATGTGATTATTTTAAAGGGGTGTCATTCTTTTCTATACCCACTGTAGCTAAACCTAAGAGTGATTTTTTTTTACTTGCATCTAGTTTCATATTTATTTGTAGTGTCTATAAAATATGGTTAAAATTTACTGATGAATATACTGACAAACATTTATGGTAAACTAAAACACACTTTCATGTCATTTCTACTGAAACTTGCATGGAATGTATTTCAATATATTTGTAATTACACATACACTAGTGAAAAGTTTTAAGAGAGTTCACCTTACAAAACTGTTACAAAACTGAAGAAACACCCATAAATCATGTTAACAGTCTTGTATAAAACTAACTAAATCAACTGACTGTGGCTCTGCAATTGTTGCTCTTCCTACAAACTCATGTAAACACTGAGATTAAATCTCAGACAGAAGTGGCGGTGTAGCGGCGCCAGTACCTTGATGATTTCCACCAGTTGATCCACTCCGCTGTCGCCGGGGAAAATTGGTTGTCCTAGCAACAGTTCCGCCAACACGCAGCCAGCTGACCACACGTCTGCAGTGAAAGCGGGGGTCAGAGAGATGCTGAGAGTGAGGGAGGGCTGACGCTCAACAGGCCATTCTTATTAGCCAGAGGTCAAGGACTCGTACACAGACCACATCCTAAACACTATGAGCCTACTGCACTCACTGTACGTCCTTGCAAAATCACCAACGACACGTCAAACAAACAAACAAAAAAAACACAAAACAATGCTCTACATATGAGTAAAAAAATCCACGAGTTCATGAAAGATCCTTCAGCTTCATAATCTTATTATAGGGCCTATTCTCCGAAAGAATGGTCAAATTATTTGACTTTTCAATAGCTGATACAGTATTTAGAGATCAAGGTGGCCACTAAAACCAACGGAATCATAGTAAATAAAAATGTGAAATAAATAAATACAACTAAAATTACATTAACATTAATTTTACATAATATTTACACAAAATCTACAGATAAAAATGCATAAGTGAAATATTAAGTCTGTAGATATGAACAAGCTGTTATGACTATTGATAGTCCCAGAATGGCCAAATATCAGCTTAATATTTGGCCTAGCTGATATATCAGTGTATTCTCTTGTGAAAAAGAAGTGCAAGTAATTGTTCTCAATGTGTACTTCACATCTTTAAAGTATGTTTTAAAAAGAATTGTACTTGCAGATAATATGAATTAATAAATTAAAATTTGGCCAACTTGGTAGCAACACACAACCCTATTTCTTAACACACTTAAGTGCACTTTAAAAATGAAATTAAGTTTTATATTTTAAATCATTATGTTTTAATATTTTGTTGAGCTTTAAAAAAGTACACTTGTATTGATGTGTTGACTAACATACTAAAGCATATGTAAAGCACTCTATTATAATTGTAGTTTATTAACATCAGTACTTATGAAAATTATTCTTTTTATTATGATCATTCAAAAATGATATAAAGATGTACTTAAGTCCTGATTAAGTGTGCCAAAAAAGTTCTAAATGCATTTAGTATAAATCAAAATGTAATACATTTGTATTTAATTGCAATCAACAAGCAACTAAATGTCCAGAAACATTATATTTAATTCACACTTAAGTATATTATTTAAGTACTCTTTTAAAAAAATGCTACAGTCTACTTCTTTTTCACAAGGGTCACTTTTGGCATGCATTTGCGTATTTACCATGACAAGAGGTGATGGCAACATAATGGAGGAGTAGTTTATTGAAGCAGAAATGATTTGCATGGTAGTACAATTAAAGCTCATATACCTATGCTGGATGTGTAGTCGGTTGCTCCAAAGATGAGTTCAGGGGCTCTGTAGTACCGTGAGCATATGTAGGAAACATTGGGCTCCCCACGTACTAACTGCTTAGCACTGCGAACAAAAAGACAGATTGTCACAGGTGTTAACTCTCTGCGCAAAAACAATCTCTGATCACACTCATTACCATTTCAGTCAACTACTCTGTCTTTTTGGAGCTTGTTGGCAGCATAAATCACTTGCATGAGGCCGAGTACATTACAAAATGTTCACTTTTGAATAACTTTAACCACTAAAATTGTTCTAACTCAACTCATTTAGAGCTAAAAAAAAAATCACCTGAAATCTAGAGTTTCCTTTTTAGCTGGTTGCAAAGTTGCTAACACCTCAAAAGCATCTTAAGGCTCTATTCAGAGTACATGAAGACTACTGCTAATCGATCTCCTCATTCAAGGAAAATGTGCATTATTTTTGTCTAAGTCCCCAGTATAAGGTATTCATTAACAAACGGCGGATTCACATGCCCTAGTTTTCAGCCAACAGACGTAAGGCAAGTGAGAAATGGATACCCGAATATCACAATCTTTAGCAGAAAAATGTGAAAAGCAGGCTAAATGAGGACGGCTGAAGTCATCGTTTTCAAGGCATATAACATTCTTCTGTTGTAAAATGAAAAAATAAAACATAATGGTACCATAACGTGGTCATTTTAGCTTTTATTCTTTTTCATTTTTTGAGTTCTACATTGTTTTTATGACACCTACATTTTTCACTTATATAACTTTCTTTTGTTGAATAAATGAAAAAAAAATAGAAGTGCCATAATGTAGTCATTTTAGCTTGCTTTTTCTTTCTTTCTTTCTTTGAGTTCAACAGCCTCTATTCTCATTATTACTTCAATCAATGAACTGACTTTAGCTGAAAAATGACGCTGTTATTGTCTTCTTGCATCATTGACAAACTATGTTCCTGTTTGACTCTGTAAAGCTGCTTTGACACAACCAGTGTTGTATAAAGTGCTATATAAATAAAGGTGACTTGACTTGACTAGACTATTAAAAATAGCGCTTCAAACATTTTTGCACTGTATCTTGTTTGGTATTTCACAATAGCAAGAAAAGGTTTGGAGTAGCATGAGAGTGAGTAAATGATGACAAACATTATGTTTTTGTAAACTATTCCTTTATCCAAATCTGCATTAAATCTGAAAAAAGAATTACAAGTAACAATAAATAAATAAATAATGAAATATATGTATGTATATATATATATATATATATATATATATATATATATATACACACACAAGTTACAAGCAACAAAGTATTTCACCAGGACACAGTGATTGGCTTTTCTTCACAAAGAATTAATTTGTCAGTGCCCAAGTCGTTTTTCTTTCTCTGCTTTGACTCTGATTGATAAGTAGTCTCTAATAACAGATGTTTGATTTCCTAAAAAAAGGTGTGTGTGTGTGTGTTTGACTATTTATGTCGCATCTTGCCAATAGCAGGAAGGATATAACTCAGGACAATGTCATCACAGCAGTCAAGACACTGGTGACGTAAAACTGCACGGGAGGAGGGGGAGCAAATGCCAACACTCTCGGTTGACCCGTATACTCACCAGCGGGAACAAAACACAAGGTTTTCATTCAGGATGCACACATCGCTCACACAAACACACATTAGGAACAATCCGCACCTTTACATAAACCATGGGAAGGGTCTGCTTAGCGCGGCTGTAGTGTCTCGCCACTCTGTAGACAGTCTCAGGGACGTAGTCCAGAACCAGATTCAGATACACCTCATCCTTCTGTGGACAGAAAACAAGAAAGCAAATACTTTAAGTCACAGAGTTAAAAGTGTCAGTCTTTATAGCACATACGTATATAACTTTAGTGAATCTATATATAAAACCAGCTCGGTATGGAAGAGGATAATGACTCTGAGTCAGTGTCTATACTAAAAATGTCCCATATGCCGCATCCCTCCATATATCTCAATGACTGAACAACCAGCGTATGAACCGTAAAATCAGCTGCTATGGAAACGACACAAAAACAGCCAATTCTCTAGCATGATGTCATTGTGGACGTTGACTGCCATGCATTGTGTGGAACCGTGCCTAAAAGCGAGCTATGATTGTGCCCACCATCTTTACATAACATACATGCTCAGACACTGAAGTCATATCCTCCTGTAGAACTGAAGAAAAGGAAGAGCTCAATAGGGTGGCCTACAGGGCCACTCTGACCCCTCGTCTGATGTCACATCCTGTCTATTATGCCCTTCTTCCTTCCTCCACAAGTTCAGTTGTGAGAGAGTCTATTTCTGCTGAATCTGACATGCCTGAGCTCATTTACTTTATGTCAAAAGGACATGAGTCAAACCGACCTCACACCTCTGCTAAACGTGTCAAGATACTTGAATATAAGAATAAGAAGTCCAAATATAAAAGATATAAATGTAGATACAAAACATAAAGCGATTATTTTACCCAAAAAATAAAATTCTGTCATCATACATTTTCACATAAATTACTTTCTTTTGTTAAAAATGAAAAAAAAAGAAAAAAAAAACATAAAGGTACCATAACATCACTGCAGTCATTTTAGCTTGTCATTTCTTTCTTTCTTTTTTTTGACAGCCTCTATTTCCATTATGAAAATCAGCACTCCAAATGTTTTGCAGTGTATCCTCTTTGTTTCACTAGAGCAAAAAATGTTTGAAATGACAAACTTTTTATGTTTTGGTAAACTATTGCTTTATTACTATATGGATCAAATCTGAAAAATAATTACTAATAACAAAATTAAATAAATCTTGAAAATAAATAGAAGTTACTCTGCTAAATGTATGAAGTTAAGATACTTAAATATAAAATATAAGATACTTAAATATAATATTTTATATATATATATATATATATATATATATATATATATAAAATATATATAATATAAAATATATAGA